CTGAGAAAAATAACAATTCGTGAGAATGTCGAGCACTCGGAGCACAGTCTAGGGAACCAGCTAGGTGGCCTGTTTCGATGTTCCATGCATCGAATAAATCTCTTTCAACAGGAAACACTCGCAAATTACTGGCATGAATAATTTATTTTGAGTCACATATTGAGCCGGATAGGAAAAGCGCCAAACAACTTTCACAAGTGTGTTTTTCCTTTTATGGTAAAAAAATAGCACAATTAACGTACAGAGTATCGATTAACGCTGACAAGCGTTAAGATTTGTATCTGTGTGCAAAAGTGTAATTTATCGAAAAAAAGAGATATTTGATCGTATTTCGAAGATACGAGAATTCGAAAAACTGAAATCCTCCCGATTTGATGATCAGAATATTTGCGCATATAAAGAAAATACAAATGCGAAAAGTGTGATCTCGACGTAATAATATGTCTCACACGGGATGCGCGTTCGCCAACTACGTTCTCCATCAATGAATTCATCGAACGTTCGTGTAAACGTGCCCCTAGCGCGAGATGCCAACGCTAATATCGTGATAATTAAATCGACTTTACGACGCTTCTGAATATCAATCAGTCTGCGGAGCACAATGATTACATCTCGTTAACGGACACTCGTGCTGGCGCATGGATGACATTAACTTTGAGTGGTCTGCTCGTCGACGTGGGTTTTCCTTCTTCACAAGCGTGTCCACATATCCTACGGGATGACCATAGAAGGCAGCATAAATAGTCGTGAATAATAAGCTGATATTATAACAAATTTGCAAGCTCATAATTGAATCTATTTGAATATTACAGAGATATTTATGTTAATACTTAGATTTATTATAATAAAGGTTTTTGAAATTATACGAGGAATAATTACTGTCATGATAAACGAGCAAATTTTTTTTATGATTCTTACAAATATAATTTTTCTAAAATCTTATATAAAATCTTTTATATAAAATCTTTAATTTTTTCTCTGTAAAATCTATTTCTCATCTGGAGAAATATTACAAGACGAATAAATTATTTATTCTCTTTTCTTTTCACAATAAAAACAGCTTTAAAAAATTTTTGAAAATATCCTCCTCTAAAAATTTTAGAATTATCTTATCTTTATTTTCTTAATTTACTTGATAATAATACTTTTTGACTGGAAAAAAGTAAATTCTAATAATCTGCCGCGGATAATTCTTCGCGAATTATTCTATTATATGGAAACACACAGACATGCATTAAAATCATGTTGGATTGAAGACAGTTAGTCGAAAAATTCTATGGGGGAAAAAAAATTTAAAAGCCATTTATTGAACAGTTATCTGCATCGCAACTCGTCGTCCATTCAATCAATCGTACGCGTTCACCATCGAATCTCTACTAAACGCATCAATTCTCGCTTGGGATACGTGCGCCACATGTTAATGCGCCCTTCTCCCCCTCCTCCTCCCACCTTCGTGTCTTCATCATCCTGTACGAGAAACGCACGTGCGTTTGTATCACGAGCATACATAAAGTATTTCTCCCTTTCGCTCGTTTCAGTAATAATTAGTATTCAGGAAAGCAAGATCGAATCATGTTGAGATCGTCGGAGAATCGTCGGGCCGTCGCGTTTCCTCCCATTTTTAATCCCCGCATTCCAGATTCATTCGCGACGCGCATTCCGCGGTATTAGCGTGTGCTGTGTACGCCTTATTAATCTCACGATCTACGGAAAGAGACGTTTTCTTATGCGCGAGCACGATTCTACACGACGGAAGCCCGCGAGCTAGAAACGCATCCTTCCCTCGAACCTCTCGAGTGGTAATCCCGCGCGACGTCGCTCCCCACTCGTGCCCGCGCGCAATTAAATCCAACGATATCTCAGGAGATTACATTCTCGCGTATGACAGTTGTGCGTGGTTTGCGCCATTGAATCGCGTAAACGACGCGGAGTTTGTCGTCTTAGTTTACGATTTACAACGTCCGCGGCGGCAACGGAAAAGGGACAGAGTCGTCACCGGACTGGTCGCGAGGAAATCGCGTTCCGAGCCTCTCCCCGTCGAGACGAGGCAACGTCGTTTCCCCGAAAGCGTCACATAACTTAGCTAAACGCCGGAGAAGCCCGTTAGACGGGGCCAAAGCCACCTTCCCCAGGAGACAAAGGTTCGCGGGAGACCGCTAATTGCATGTTTATGGAAACCGACCGAAGTTGTAAAAGCGCCTTCGAGGCGGCGTTGTACACGACGGCAACGACAACGATTGACGACGAGTTCCCAAAGGGAAGACGAGAGAAATGCGACTTGCTGGAAACGGTGCAACATGTACTCTTTGCGGATCGCCAGAAGAAGTAGTACGAAGACTCGACTTCGGTAGGCGAGCGACGTTAATCGCCGCCGAGCGACGACCTCGTTCCCGAGGCTCTCATCGATGACCTCGACGAGATGCTTCGCACTGAGGTTTCACCCGCTATCCGGGTGACTGTCCGGATATTAAACTCGCGACAATAACGCTATAAATCCATTAGTGGATTCGAGCGACATTGCAAGCATCTTGTGAAAGAATAATGTTCCTCTAATAATTAATTCGCACATGCACTAATCTCGAATCTATTTGCAAAATTAACTTCCTATAATAGCAAGAGAAAATTAAATGAGAAATTGTATAAATATAATTGTAAATAAAAGATATAAAGTAATTAGTAAGATTTGTAAAATAAAAATAAAATAAAATAAATTAAAAATATGAGAAAAAAAAATTATCAAACATTTTATTTCGGAATTATTCTCTTTTTAATCGTTAAAGAAAATTCGAAGCAAATTAAAATAGTTGTATTTATTATCATATCTGCGATTAAGCTATTGGCATAATGCGGGCTTCCATCGTGTTGGCATTTCTCTCATTAATAGCTTTACACGTCTCAGAAACGTTTTTCTTTTTCTTATTCTATTAACTTCTTATGATATAATGGATAGAATCAACGAAGTTTAAACATCAGATTTCATTGCCTCATCGCTGTGAGCAGACTTTGCAAGAATGTAGCAAATGCAGGCGGCTGAATGATTTGTTGTATAATAATTGTATTTACAAATTAACACTGTCTATGCGTATGATGATGACAATGAGAATATAGCAACACACGCGACAGAACCGATAATGAATTAATTTTCGTCTGCTTAACGCCGATTACGTCTATCACATAAGACGTAAGATCCCAGCTCGTTCGTCTGTGGGAAGACGTCCATGGTCGCTACTTTCTCCTTATGTAAGATAAACGCGATTAAAAATGATAGCTCGCGCAAATGTGTAGGCCGATTTTATCTGCGGTGAAAATTTCGTGGGAGACATCTAATTAGCATCAAATAATGTTATCCAATGTTTTTAAAGTAAATTCGAAAGTATAACTTGATGAAGTCACTTGATGAAGTGACTTTTTACTCTTGACTTTTTACTCTTGAGTTAAGTGGATAAAAATTCTTTATTTTCGCATTCTCTTACTCTTGAATTAACACCACTAATGCACTATTGAAACTTTAAATCAAGAGATTAAATCAAGAGAATTGAGAAATACAGAAATATGTCTATATTCTGCGAAATTGATTTGAGTTGTACCTATAAGTAAGTAACACTAATAAATTATATTTTTACATTTCACTTGTGCTTTAAATATTTTTATCAAAATTTTCAAATTAAATGTTTGAAATTAAAGACTATGTAATACATGCAGATGATAGATAAATTGGATTTTTAATTACATTCCAACCTGAATCTCCTTTACCGATTCATTCATTTTTCTGATTATCTGATATATGAATATTTATTATTATTCTCACACTGTGTTATATGCGAATATATTTTAAATCGAAATACCATTCAATTTTATTCGGTCGTTATTGTACATATATGTGTGCATGTGTATAATGTTGTTCCTCTCTCCATATATTATATCCTCTCGACTGTCATTTAAAAAGAAAAAAAGGGATTAGCACGTAAATCTTGGGGAAGCCAATCGTTAACGAGCTATTGATTAAGTGACCCATTTATAAATATGACAGCGTTAATTACAAGCATTATATCGATCGCGAATCAGACGACGCGGCGGATTAATGGCGATCCTGATTTAGCCGAAGTAGCGCTTGGAAGATGAGACGGAAAGACGGCAAGACGGCAATTTTTTTACGCATCGGATTCTAGCTTTTAGCTTCTAGCGAGTGAACCGTGCCTACTATACTGTGTATACTGGCGCTTGATTAAACTTGGTGATTAACCACTAACGACCACGTGCTCGTTCACTTAACATAAATCGCTGATTTACAAACTCCATAACGCTGCGCAAGGTCGCGACATAAATTCATTAGGCAATCGAATATATCAGCTGTAGACCTGAGACTTAATAGCACGTATCTCGGAATCTCTTGCGATTAAAATTCAACAATTCAACAATTTTCTATGTCCGATTATTCATACGTAGAATTGGTGATCAGAAAAAAATATTAAAATATACCGTTAGATGAGGATGTTACAACGATCTCTGATCCATTTGTAACCAGTTTTGGCTCTGTCTATTCGTGTGAATTTATTTTACGAGTTATTTATTATCTTATTTATGTCTTAATTATTATCGACGTAAATTTATAAAATCTGGAAAATCCAAAAATCATCAACTTATCTTCCAAAAATATTAAAAATTCTATTATTGAACTTAATCATTTTGGCACAATTTTATTGCGTAAAATGATTAACATTTTTGTGCTACAAAAATGCTACAATTTCAAGAAATCACTTTAAAATCTATTCTTTCTCATTTCATATTCCTTTTGTTCACGATTGATATTATTCCTTTGTTTTATAAAGAACAGTGTTACATAAAGATATTTTATGTATTCACTATACGTAATATTTTCAGATAAAAGTTTGAAATACATTCTAAAAAGTACAATATAATGTTAGAGTTAATTAATTATTTTTATAGAACACCGTAGTAATTCCAGTAATTATCGCACAATCTGGCGCTCGTAATTTCAGGACGTGGTGCACCGCGCGTAACCGCGGCTCTCGTAAGCGATGGAGAAGGTAGGTTGATCGCCACCCCGGTCCGCAGGGAGAACATCGCCGCGAGGAGCAAGGAGGATCTCGCACAGGAGGCGGCCCTGGTCCTGCAGCAAGCGGGCAGTCTTCACTGCGTGGCGCGCGACAACCGACGCAGTCTGCCCGGTCGCTTCAGCACCCTGCCAGCACGTCGTAACAAGAATCGGCCCGAATTGCCAATCGATGTGAGACCTCGCCGTGGTAGCGAAGACATCAGCGCTACGACCGCGGATCTCGGCACACCGCGGGCCAAGAAAAAACCATTGGAGAGAAGCGCGAGCGATGCCAGCGCGAAGAAGCTGAAGAGCTCGCTCGCGCGATTCTTCTCGCCGAATTTGGAGAAACGACGAAAGCCGATCGGCCGAAGCGCGAGCGACGCGGGTACCTGGACGCGCAACGGTGCGCAGCGCAAACGAAGCGGCAGCGAGAGCGAAGGCTCGCACTTGAGCACCATCAGCCAGCGAGCGAAGAAGCAACTGTCGCCGATAATCGAGTCATCGCCGCAAGTAGATCAGCAGCCGTTCCACTTCGGTACCGTAAACGCGGATCGCGAGAACAACAATCGACCGGAGCCGAAGAAGCCGAAAAAACAAGAGGAGCGAGCAAGCCCAGATATCGATGTCGATGAGGTGATATCGCGAGACGTCGAGGCGAAAGAAACGATCGAGGGAACGACGCTCGAAGTGCGCACCGACGAACCTGCCGGTAGATCGCCCAGTCGAGAGGCCAAAGTGATCGAGCATCATATATTTGTCGAAGGTAGAGACGACGAAGAGAAGAAGGAAATCGAACAAAAGATCGTGAGAACCAGCCGTACCCCTTCGCCTGCGAAAGAATCGAAACGCGGGGGAGACGAAGTCGACGAAGCAAGCACGTATAGTATGCTACATAGTAGCCGCTACGATTTTCAGAAACGCAACGAAGAGTCTACTATCCACAAGATGATCCATCGATTGTCCAATGACCGTTCGCCGCCGCCACAGCTGCCCAGAACAATGGTATCGCCGTCACCGGGATTCGGTCATAATAACAATCGGCCGTTCTCTTACACTAGACCAAACGAATCCTGCAGCCCGCCACCATCAGCGCAGACCAATGTGATTTATGCGCAGGTGCAGCCGGACAAGAAGAAGGCCCAGAGGAGTCACTCCGACAGCGATGAGGGCCTCGGCCTCGAGAGAAAAGATTCCTCTCGCGAGAACAGTCCCGCGGAGAAAGAGTATCGCAGAGTCGATTATTCATACAGTAATGATCTACGTCGCAACAATGAGATCAATACCTTCAAGTCGAGATACGAGGAAGATCGTAAGAGCGGTAGTCCCTTCGGCAAACATTTGGGCAGTTCAAAGGACTTCATCTCTAGGGCCACCGAAATCACGAGACGCCACGAATTCGACGACAGGCGTCTCTATGACAAGCCAGAAAAATATACTTCAACTGTGTTCGTGGACACTTCCGGTCGAGGTAGAGCCGATGGCATGGATGCTAGACGAAGAGACAGTGGCGAGCTGTCCTCGAGACAGAATGAAAGCGGAATCTCTCACAAAACATCCGAATTAAGCGCTCGGCGGGATCTGCTGGAGTCCAGAATAAAATCCAGGCTGTTGGCCGATGAGATGTTCGCAGCTAAGAACAGTGCGAACGTACCGGTGAAAAAATCAAGCGAACATGAGATAATCGACAAGCCGATTGTGCCGTCGCCAGTCACGCCGAATCGGATCGCGTCACCGAAACGATACATGGATACTTACATCACGGAGACGCGTACCAACAGCAACGGTGAAAAATACATCTTCGAGAAAGAAATACATGAGGATAATGGCAAAGTATACGGTTACGAGAAGAAGATTACCAACAAGATCCCGACGAATGGCTACCTCGATACGAAACCCAGAGATGGTTATACCGTAGAGACCAGGACAGATAAATATGGCGACAAGTATATCGTAGAGACGCGAACTCACGAGGGCTATACCGGCGATTTCAAGCCGTTCCTCAGCGATCGAAGTCGGAGCAGTCCGGAAGAGAGATTTCAAACTATCAGGGATGGCGGCACCCCTTACAAATCCCAGCATTATCTGCCCGAAGGGACCTCTACGACGGTAAATCACTTTCGCAGCGCGTCACGAGAAAACGATGAACTATCGTCGCCGATTATCGCTAAAAAATTGAACGAACGAAAATTCTCGAAGAGTGACGACTTCCTGGATCGCGACAGCCGGCCGATCAATCGAGACGCGTATCTACCAAAACCGAAGAAGCCCTTCGAGTCGATCCGCGGTATGAGCAAGTCGACGCAACGGTTGGACGAGGTTGGAGAAAACGCCAGGGTGCGGGCTCTCAGGAGTGAGTATACCACGAGATCGCACGAGAATCTGAGCAGTCACGCGGATTATGTCAACGCGCGGGACATGAGACGTCCGACCGCGTTGCTGGACAGTCCGACAATGAACGGACGTAGAGAGAGGTCGCCGTTCGCGAAGCGTCATCTGGACAGCCTGCGCGAGGGTCCGAACGACGATTACGATACCGATATTTCGCAGATGACCAGTAGCCAGTTGGAGTCTAAATATTACAAGGAGACACGCACCACGCAGAGATACGCGAGCGGCAACAAGCATCCGATCCACGACGATTACGACAGCTCGCCGCCGCGGATACGCACCGATCGCGGCGGTTATAATTCCAGCCGGTACGACTCGGACACTACCGCCAGGGACTCGCTACGCTGCGAGACCCGCTACGACGAGACGCGCACCACCTTGAGGAAGGAACACCGTAAAATGGATGACGATCCGAAGAAGCCATTGAGACGATCGCGCAATCGACTGGACTACTTCGACGATTCCGACAGCCCGCGAGGAAAAATATCTTCGGTTAGTCGGTTAGAAACGTTTACCAGCCGACAAGAGACTCCGACCAGACCACCTAGGACGTATCACGAGGGCAAATCCAGGCACACAAGGCAGGAGGTGCGAGGGCATACCGAACGTCGTCATCGCGAGACTAGGCTGAGCGATCCGGATCGAAAGGATCGGCTGGCGGATTCCGGTATCGAGAACGATTACAGAAGGGACTCGCAGGAAGCGGATAGACGTGAGCAACTCGAGTCCGAGGACGAGGGGTTCGTTAGCCGGCAGTTTATCAAGCACGAGCGACGGCACACCGATCGCAACATGAATCTGACGCCGACGTCCGAGCAGCGCAAATATGACAAATACGCGAGCGACTCGTCATCGAAACCGCCGTTGGTTACCGCGAAACCGCCTTCCGGTGCCGCCGATAAAAAGTATGAGAAGAAAGCGGCGAAAAAGAGCGGCACCATGAGCAAGGTCAAACAGCTGTTCAGCAAGAAGGAGAAGAAGGCGAAGGAGGAGAAGAGCAAGAAGAGCGTGAGGAGCGGCAGCAGCGGCGCCTTGACCGACGACGAGGTGACCATGAGGTATCGAGAGTATCGTGGATATCAGCTGAGGAGCGCCAAGAGCGCGCGGGATTTGGGCAGCGATATTAATCAGGTAGGAGATTTTTTTCTTTCTTCTCATATTTGCGCGCCCGGAAACGGCTCCGCGCGAGGTTAACTAACTCGCGGTTGAAGCCTCGGCCGAGCTCGGGGTTACGTCGACGATGATGGCCAGTGATTGATTGATTTTGGCATCCCGACTCTCGGCCAATGAATCGGGCGTTAAGAAAGGGCAATGGAATCGCACGATTACAACGTAGCGTATCGATCGAAAAAAAAAAAAAAAAAAGAAAGAAAACAGTATACCGGAAGTTTTCGTACGAGAAGATGCAACGGTTAATCATTGGCAAGAAAAGAACAGAATTAATACATGCATGAAATTGAGGTTGCTAATTATTTTCTTATATTTGTAAAATGTCTCAAAAAGATATAGTTTTCACGATGACAAAATTATACATGATTAAAATCTTATTTTAAAAAATTATAAATCTCAACATTTTGTTTGGTAATAGGGTTGTAAATTTATTGGGAAAAGTAATTAATCTTTACTTTCCTGTTAATTATTATTTTTCTCAACTGATATTCTATACGAGGCAACTCGATCTAAGAGGGAGAAAAATCGGAATGCATGACTCATAAACTCAACTCATTCGTTTTAAGTCAATATGAAATATCGTATTTCTGAGGTTTTCCGAAGATTACTGCACGAATAGGAAATATATCTAAGTGATATATTTAGGCGATCGCGCGAGCGTAAACGATCGCGTTTCAAACATCATCCCCGTTACTTCGAAAAGAGATAAGGCTCATGCGATATTAATCAGGATGACCACCATGCGTAAGCCATACGAGAGAGTCATAGGGCGTTACGGGATTCCTGTTCCGCTTCTGCTGTATTTATTGTGCGATTGTCGCGGATTACTGGCGACGAAGGCGAGGAGAGAGATCGTTCCCGCGCGAAAAACGGTCTCTCTCTTCCGCGATTAGCCGTCGAATAATTTCCCGATTTTTTTTTTCGAGCGTGTCTAATCCGCCGACGACGTCGCGGACTCGACGGTACGAACCGGAAGTAGCTGATAATTGGGCTTTAACCCGAGTTGCCGACTGCCATTGCAATTGCGTCATACCTAACTGTACACCTAGCCGTCCTCAGCACCTAGCTGGTGCGAAAAGCGCGACTTTAACGGGCGACTACGCGGTAGAGGATTACACCGTCGCCCACGCCCGTGCGGAAGCGCATTTCGGAGTATCTGTCATGCAAACGCACACGCAAGCCGTGACAAGACAACGCGAGATTCCTACGACTCGGGCCTGCGAAACTGCATAAACTTCGGCATGCATACTGAATCAACCTAGCTCATAGTTTCATATTAAACGTCATGACATTTATTATTATTAATCTCGATGATATTCGTGTGATAATCGCAAGTTCTCGTCTCTTAGTTAATTATTTGGTATAAAATTAAAAATTACAGAATACCATTTGTTTGAATTTCGTGATGTGTCAGAAAAAAGTCTTTATTATTAATATACTTTTCTGTAAAAATGAAATACATCTTAACACGCGAAAGCCCTATGAATTATTAACATTTGTTTACTGAGAACTACTCGCGGAATTAATGATGTTTGCGCGTAACACCATCATCTCAGAATCACTGCGTTTGATTCATTTGCCACTATGACAATGGACAGTTACGAATGTTATTGTTAGGCTCGAATCTGCACGAGGCACGATAGGCTCGTCGATCTCGCGAGTTAAGCGGGATAGACGTTACTCCGTAACGGAGCTTTCGCTGTCGGACGTCGCCGGGGTCCCGTATGAAGAGTAATGATACGGCGTCCGCGAACGATCATCGACATAAAAGCCCACTGCCTCCTCTCTTGGGAAATAAGTCGGAGCCGCGGCCGCGCGAGACTTACCGGACGTAACATTTAACCCGAATGATAGATAATTCTCCGCTCGCCGTTGGCCTGAGGAGATTTTTCCTCGCAGTAAATCCTGGAACGGTCGTTATTTCTCGATTGCGCAACTCGTCAAGACCGCACGTCCGCCGAGGTATTCAATTTCGCGAGAAATTGACGACGCGTGCGACGTCATATAAAGTGAACACAAAGTGATACTCGCTGCCACACGTCGAGGACGGCGCGCATTTTGTTTCTATTTCCATCCATGATTAATCGATCGCTTAATATTCCAATTATTACGTATTTACGTAGCGTTTGAGGTACAGCGATCGGCCTCCGATCGTCCCGGCGCGGCGGCTTGGTCGGCGTCCCCCGGACGGCGTTCTCGACCCTAATTTCCCGCGATCTTCTAACTCGATTACGCGCGAGCATGTGTGTTATTAACACGCGTTCTCGTCCGCGCCGCGCTCATCCGAGGCAATTTACCACGAGCCGCGCGTTACGGTCGTAACGATTTGCGGCGTGGCGGCGAAGGTCGCAGTTGCAGTCGGCCGTGTTGCAAGCGCCCGGACAACGGCGTTCGAGCAAACGCACGAATATAAAATATCGACGCCATTATCTAATTAGACGAACACGCCGTAAATAACGACGCTTAGTATATCACATCGTTGCCGTTCCTGTTGCCGCGTAGAGAGGAAGATGGAGTTTGCCCGGTAGTGTTCGCTCTTCGCTCAAACGTTTTCACCGCGTGAATCGTGAGAGTCGCTCGTTGATGGCTCGTGATGACTCTCGAAATACCCACTCACAATTCCCGAGTAAAGCGAACCTATTATCGTCGCCGTAAGAAGTCACGGAAGAATTGACTATGACGATTTCGCCAATCGTTCTAAAATTTGCGTTACTGAATGTTGAATCGATAATTTGCTCATCCTTGGCTATTCATCTCAAAGGATGAATTGAATTTCGTGATGTCGTTCCATCGACATGCATCTCATGCATGCATCTTATTTGTGATACTAATCATTTATACTTAAGAACATCTGTTTTTATGTAGAATAATGTCCAGTGAGGAAATAGAAAAGTATCTCAAAAGTGTTATTCAAATGCTTGCAACTCTTGATAGAAATTACGCTTTGAACGAATCGACGCGTTTATTTGAAAGAATCGGTCCGGACAGTATGGTAACTCGCCGAAGATTGATACGCGATGTTGCGAGAGGCGTTGAATAGCTCGTAGGTATGATCAGTGTCAGTGCCATCGATGGGAGATTAATGGACCACAGCGTGTCGCCGAGCGGTCGAATCGAGAGCTGCCGACTCGAGAAAGAAGCTACAATGGCAAAGAAGCGAGCGTGAAACGCGTCCACGACGGTCTCACGGTGGGTCGGCGTGGCGTTACACAACGCATTACATGACGCGTCTGTGCACCGATCGGCGCTCGTGACAGGTGTTTGTGCGTGGTATGAGCAGGAGTGAGTGAATTGAATCGAGACGGCGTTTCGAATTTACACACTCCGCTCGTAAGCTAATGATCGTTTCGATCATCGTTGCGATCGAATATGCGAGCCTACGCTAGGTTATTAGGACGTTTATCTCGTCGGATAATCTATTTATTGAATTTAATTCGCGTGCGCTCTCTCTCTCTCTCTCTCTCTCTCTCTCTCTCTCTCTCTCTCTCTCTCTCTCTCTCTCTCTCTCTCTCTCTCTCTCTCTCTCTCTCTCTCTCTCTCTCTCTCTCTCTCTCTCTCTCTCTCTCTCCTCCTTTTCTCGTTCTTTCTCTCTCTCGTTCTCGCCATGCCATTATCCCCTTCGCCCAATCTCGCGCGTTCCGTTTTCTGTCATTCCGCCTCCGTTAATACCCAGCCTGACTGGTACTTTCGCACTTCGTCATTAATCGCGGCCACGTCGCCCTGGGACACGACGAAACCCATTTGCCTCTCCCGCCGCGTTCGACGGCGAACGCAGTCGGCGCATTTTCGCTCGTCCGCCAGCCATCGAAACCGTACCCTCCTCCTCCTCCTCCACATCCTCCTCGTCCTCCTTCTCACCTCTCGTCGGACGAGTTATACGACTAGGCGCAAACGGGCCGCAGCATGCACCGACCAAGTGTCCGCTCATACTCTCGGCGGAGACCTCGTTTTCTCACGGCGGGACCGAAACCCCTCGTTACGCAACTATGCAATTATAAGGCGCTAAGAGTATCATTTTTCAAATGTAAAAGCTCCGAGATCTTTGAGGAGTTTTATTACGGTCGTTAACTCCGCGATGCAAATCCGCTCACTTTCAAATACATCATCATTGTCTGGATAACAGTAAAATAAGTATAATTTTAATTGGATGATAATACACGACGTGTGTGATGTATGTAATTGAAATATTTCATAATTTTATTACTTATTCGCTATTTCGCTATTTTTATAATTACGAATAATAAAAAATAATGATTATTTATTCCCGAAAATGCCCTCTAAATCTGATCATTTTATCATTATACAGATAATATATTTTATAAATTCATATTACGTAAAATACCAGTTTTGATCGGCATGCATCATCCTCCTGTGATTTCCCACTGCGCAACTGCGTACATGTACATCGGGATCTTCGTCGCAGGTGTTCGCACACGCGTGTGCGCGCGAATCGAGTAGCGTGTAAAGCTGGACGCGCTTGGCCACGGCTGGAGGCTGCGTGCGCGAGATGATCGAGCATTATCGTATCTCGGAACACCCACGCGCGCGGCCGCCGCTCGGCGACGAAGGAAAGAACGGGCAATAGTGTCGCGGACAACCGACCGATCGACCGATCTACGCCCAGGTGCACCCTCGCGCGCTCTCCCTCCCCCCCTTCCTCTCTCTCTCTCTCTTTCGCTCTCTCGCGTGCGCGCGATCTTTACCGTCGCGAACGTCTGTGCTTCGTTTTGTTTCGCGGAGGCGAGGATGCTTTCGCAACGACCGCCAGCGTAAAAGGGACCAACGACGTAACGAAAGGGAGACGGGACCGGATAGCAAGAGAGATGGGTCGAGGGGGGGACGCGTCGAAGAGGGCACGCGCAAAAAAGGCCCATTAACTTCACCGTAACCCGGCAGGAGAGGTGCGGATCCCCGCGGCGCGGCTTGCCTTATGCCGCGCTAATTAATAATAAATGGCCATA